AGCGCATTATATACAGAGAAAAAACCCGAGATTAAATTCGTTGTCACGTAAATAATCTTGAAGTCCTCACAGGTCAACAGATATATGTAATAATTATTTATTACGCAACATATTCCATTATTAGAACTTTGGAGATGATTGTGTATATGTTTATTTGAGGTATATTATGGCTAGATACAAGATACAAAGGTTATAATGAATCCGAGGCTCGAAAACCAATACAGAGAACCTTACATGTTATTAGGACACATGAAGAGATAATAGAAAAGAGTAAAGAGAAGAGGTTGAATATGTTGCAGCTTATATACCCTAACAAGGTAGTACCCTTATCAAACTTTCCCGGAATACCAGCTGCTGAGCACCACAGAACGAATAATGAAATACTCAAATAAATTTTGCAGTATTTTTTGTAAATTATTTATTTGTTGAAGGTAACATTAATATAAAACATTTACTTCTAATTTAGTTCAATAACGAAAGTCGTTTTATTGGAATAATTATCTGTATATTCCCAAGTCAAGGCCAACATTGATTCAAAAATATCTATCAATATTGACAAATAAATGTATATATATATGAGCCGTTCATTTTAAAAGTGACTTAAGTCCATTTATCTTTAATTTGAAATACTTAAGGTTTTGCGTTTTTACAAAATTAAAAATACACGTAAGATATATGGTTGACTTGCAACGTTAAATCGCATTTAAGTAATTGAGAGAATTCAGAGAACACAGAAGTGGTATTTATATTCAGAAAATTCGTAAAATTAAACGGAATTCAGGGAAAAGATACGAATACACAATCGGGAAAAAATTATTCCTGCCAAAGTTTTTTGAAAATGAAGATTGACAATGCCGAAAAGACTGCTTGAAAAATTTAAATGAAACAGAAAGAAAACGTATTTTCGAAATGTTTTGGAACTTAGGAGACTTTAATAATACGAATAACTTATTACTAAATTTATTTCTATTATCTAAAAATATAATTTAAATGTTTTTTTTATCTATATGTGACTTAAGCTCTTTCACTTTTTGTAACAAAACAAATTTTTATATTTTGAAAGTGACCTAAGTCCTTTTAAGGCAAGCAAGGTCATATACTATACACTCAAATAATAGCGACTTTTTAATAGGATGTATAAAATTAAATCCC